ACGAAATACTTGGTCTGCCAAAATCACGCGACATTTCTGGAACGCCAAGTCCAGTGACCCAGTAGCTGCTGTAAAGTGCGGCGCTAAACTGGCACGGACCAGCATGAGGCTACCAAGCGGTGAGCACTACGGCTCACGCAGTCCCAGTCGTTTTACATTTAGTAAACATTTTAGGGAATGCTCCTCTCTACCACAAACGACATTTCTTTTACAAACAACTTCACGAATCACGGTATATGCACTCACGTCGTTTTTAGTAAACATTCTACACATTAAAGTCCTTCAGTTTTATAAAATATACTAAGAGCACATTTATAAATGTGTCATATAACAGGATTGATAATTGTGGTTGTATTATTTCTGTACTATGACAACCTCAGCATATTTTATGTTGAAACAAGTGTAATAAAAGGACTCGGACACTTCTTGCTGACTCCGTGTCCTTTATTTGGGGTTCGCGTTCTCCTTCCCACACGGCACTCCTCCTGAGACTCTCTCCCTGGCAGCCCCACATCTGCCTTCGCTCCCGTAGCCTTCCACGCTCCTGCAGCTCCGCTGCAGGCTCTTGGTACAGCCCTCTGGCTGCTCCCCCAGCAGCTCCATCGCTGCTCCCTGTTCCTCCGTGCGTGGCGATCTCGCCACCTCCCAATGTCAGCCCTTCGTGGCCTCTATGGCTATCTCGCCACTTCCTATCTCAGCCCTTCGTGGCCTCTGTGGCTATCTCGCCACTTCCTACCTCAATCCTCCACTCTCTCTTCCACCCCGCTGGCTGGCGCCGTCATGAGCCCCTCAGCCACCAGGCTGAGGCACGGCGACCACCCAACGTGTTCACCACCCTTCACTCCCCCGACTGACCCAGATAGCTTCCTGTCTCCCCGCTATAACTTCTCCCCCACGTCACCCTGACTCCTCCCTCTCGGATCGTCATATCCGCCCCGCCCATTTACGCCCGCATTACACTACCCTCCCCCGTAGAGAAAATCCCAGCCGTCCTCGGCTGAAACAGAACAAAATAATGCGGGCGAAGGCATCACAATCAGGAGTCCCCCAGACACAACGGAGATTATAACAACAACAACACAAGCAAGGAAAGGGAGGTATCAGGAACTGGAACAGAATACCGGCCTGTCCTCCGCACAACAACAACAAGAATAAGAATGGCACAATGAACAACAACGGCAACTGACACGCAAGAACGGCCAACGCGCACAATCCAGAAATGTGATGTTTTAGTGCGTGTCCATGTTGCAGTTCCATCCGCTCGGCTCAAGTCCAACGTCAAAGAGCAAGTGGTAGAGCAGGAATGACGAACGGCGCTCAATTGCTCCTTCAAGTCCTCATCCAGCTAGCACACCAGGTAACACCCAGTGCGACGGGAGCTGAAGAATCTGTGACGAGAAGGAGAATCCAATCCCCTGAGGCACAGCACAACAACGCACATCCGCATGTCGTACACGACAGCCACCCGGCCTCAGGGTAGTGGAGATGATGTAAATCCAGCCCGCTTAAAAAAACTCCCCATAAATACCCAAAATAACGCAATGGATGCCCCAGTATTTACATTTTAACAACAATATTATTTACACGTGACAACAACAACAACACAATTTCCTGCTTTTGCCCACCAGCAGTCCTCCCTTGAGGACCAGCACAGACATCGCACGTACACAGCATGTACCCACGGTCACTCTCAGCAACCCAACAAAACACCTAATCGCACACCCTCGCGTGGAGAGAGCCACGCTCCCCAGCGGTAACGTTTAACTCGCCCTAACCCCCACCGTGGTCGTCAACCCACAGCAACATCCACTGACCATACTCTCAGCTAGTGCAATTTCGGGGATGAGCAGCAACTCGGCCATGCTCCTCCCTTACTATCCCATCGGAGATGGACACACACCAGCCTCGTATAGTCCGATGCTTTATAGCCCAGGGAAGGTTCATCCCCCGGCAATGCCAGACCCCATGGACTCCCCCCACGGGGCAATGTTCTCTTATAGAGACAATAACACCCTAACCCAGATCCCGTGAGCCCCCGGCACACCAGGTTCAGTCTGCCACCGCACAACTGAACCATGACTCCCCGAGCCATATGAGCACATGGCCCATTAGTTTAAGACATACCACGGAGGTTTCGCCTCCGGGCTGTCAGGTCAGCCATCAGCCATAGGCCGATGTGACCACAACTCGTGCATCACCCAATCAACAATGGCAGGCATAACAGATGGAATATTTGCCCCACCCCGGTTTTTCCCGCGCGCTCAAAATTGGCGTCCCCCTTCGCCCAGCGCGTTCGCGCAATCTCTCGCGCGCACTCAAAATGGCGGCCCTTTCCGCAAAGCGCATCGTCGCCATACCCCGCGTGCGCGCAAAATGGCGGCCCAACGTGCGAACACGTGGCCAGTTTTCTACATTCGTGCACCCCAGCTTCCCTTAGCTGGGGGTCACAAAATGCATCCCCCGTCTTATTGTAACAACCCCAACAACGATAGACGCACAGCCCCAGCTTGCTGTGCGCAGCAGTCATATCGGGGAATTTTTAACCAATATTTTACCAACCACATTAGTTACACAACCCAACTCGCAAAGCAACTCGTGGCTGCATGCAATCAACCAATACACGACGCCACTTGGCGCCAATTTACGATCCCATTAGCATTAACATCTAAGCCACCCACAACGGCGTCATCGCGCCCCCCCCTTTTCAAAAAGCTCAATTACCCCTATAATATACACGCAATGTCGTGTGCACAACACCCATACAACCAAATTTTTGGGTCCCCCTCTATAATATACACGCAATCTCGTGTGCACAACACCCATACAACCAAATTTTTAGGGTCCCCCTCTATAATATACACGCAATCTCGTGTGCACAACAACCATACAACCAAATATTTGGGTCCCCCTCGAATTTGTTACCAATTTCCAACAAGTACGCACAATATAATAACAATCTCAATTCCAATAGTCAACCACTGCATCGCACCCCATAACCATACAGAACGGTAAAACAGCACATGCAATCAGCATATCGCGATCACACGCGTACATTTAAGCACAATAGCAAGCAGATCTGCAGGCAACCAACACACCATTAATCCTGTCGTAACTTTGCAGCAACAACACAATTATTCTCTCTCTTGCAACAATCGCATCGCACACAGCACCTCGCAGCACAATACACCAAAAAAATATATATATTTTTTCGAATTAAGCCCATCGCACAAGGTAACCCACAAATAATACAGCGCAAGATACCCGAAGCTCCCAAGTTAATAATTAACTTCACCATCAAGATAACAACTCCACGCAGCAGCGCACACACACAATTTGACACTCAGCAAATACAGCAGACTCTCCGTCCATTCTCAACACACGCACACACTTATATTGACACCAAGCAACAAGCAGATAGCGCGTTCATCGTTATTACACACATATACACACAGTCCGAACCGCGCTCCGCACAATCGAGTCATAAGAGAAACCCAACATAGCCCCCCCCGGCCCTCGAAAGATGAGTGAGGTGTGTGTTAAGGCCGGGTGCGTATCGTTATGACTCGCCCGGGGCTGCAGCAAGAAGAGGACGGCAGGGTGGCAACTTGAGACGCCTCGCAGAACTCGTTCGGCGACTTGACGGCTCCGTTGTCACGCACCCGAGCCAGGACGGGAAGCTCCCGCCCCAGCAGCTGCAGCATCGGCGTCTTCTCCTCGCAGCACCCCCTCGAAAACAGCAGCTCACAGCAGGCTGCTCACCCCGCGGCACCTCCAGATGGCAGCGCAAGGCTGCCTCTCCGCCGCGATGTTGAAGATGGCGGCGTCCTCCCGCCGCGGTGAAGACAAGATGGCGGCTTCCCGCCGTTTCTCCCCTGCCACGCCCAAGATGGCGTCTTCGTGCCACGTGGCAATGGCGCTGGCAGCGCAGGAAAGGCAGAGGCCTGCGGATCACCACCGGGCCTCCCCGACGTCGTCCTCGGCGTGGTGAACTCACACAGTTGCGCCAGCACGATTTTCAAGGTCCCCATCTGCATCGCCATCTGTCTCCATCGTAAGTTGGCGTCCTCCGGCACAGACAGGTCCACCGACGCGGCGACACCTTGCTCACCCGGACCCGTACTCGTTCCAGAACGGATCTCCTCTTCCATCGCAGGCAGGTCCACCGTCTGAGGAAGGTCGTCGTCGTCGGATGATGTAGCAGGAATATTCTTTTTTTTTCTTCTTTCTCTCAGTTGTTTTGAGATGCCGTTTCACTTCTGACTCCAGTGTAATAAAAGGACTCAGACACTTCTTGCTGACTCCGTGTCCTTTATTTGGGGTTCGCGTTCTCCTTCCCACACGGCACTCCTCCTGAGACTCTCTCCCTGGCAGCCCCACATCTGCCTTCGCTCCCGTAGCCTTCCACGCTCCTGCAGCTCTGCTGCAGGCTCTTGGTACAGCCCTCTGGCTGCTCCCCCAGCAGCTCCATCGCTGCTCTATGTTCCTCCGTGCGTGGCGATCTCGCCACCTCCCAATGTCAGCCCTTCGTGGCCTCTATGGCTATCTCGCCATTTCCTACCTCAGCCCTTCGTGGCCTCTGTGGCTATCTCGCCACTTCCTACCTCAGCCCTTCGTGGCCTCTGTGGCTATCTCGCCACTTCCTACCTCAATCCTCCACTCTCTCTTCCACCCCGCTGGCTGGCGCCGTCATGAGCCCCTCAGCCACCAGGCTGAGGCACGGCGACCACCCAACGTGTTCACCACCCTTCACTCCCCCGACTGACCCAGATAGCTTCCTGTCTCCCCGCTATAACTTCTCCCCCACGTCACCCTGACTCCTCCCTCTCAGATCGTCATATCCGCCCCGCCCATTTACGCCCGCATTACACAAGGTTAAAATGTGAAGAAACAATTAGCAGCTGAGAGAGGAATGATATTTTACTGGATATTATTCAGTTCGTACTGGGAAATTATGCCTTTATGCAGGAGGGGCTCCCGCTCACACACGCAGACCATCTCACCTCCCGAGTCTTGTGCTCGTCCTCCAGCATAGCCACATCGTGACCCTTGTGGTCTCCTGCGATGGTGCAGGTTGTACAGACCAAGCTCTTGTCCTGTCGGCAGAAAAACTCGAGCTCCTTTCTGTGCGTCTTGCACTTGCGGTCTTCAGGATTCGTGGCTGGAGCCACCAGAATGTGGTCCCTGAACTTCGGGTTCTCCTGATGAGGCTTTACATGAGTCACACAGTAGGAGGTATCACACCTGTAGCAGGTCTTGGAGGCAGCAGTCGTGCCATCGTTGCAGAAGTCACACAAGACCACGGTGGCCATTTTCTCAGCAGCACTGCGCTGCTCCACCAGGTTGGCGAGCGTGAAGTTCTTGTTCAGCTTGGGCCTCTGAGGGAAGGTCACTCGGCACTGTGGGCAGGAGAAGGACTTGGCCGCATCCCAGGCGACCTCCACGCACTCGAGGCAGAACGAGTGGCCGCAGCTGAGCGTGCAGGGGCAGCGGAAGGCGTCCAGACAGATGGGGCAGGTCAACTCTCCTTGGGCCTCGCTACCGCTGGGAGCTGCACTCGCCATGGCCCTGTGGCTCCACTTAGAGATGGGCGCTGGCTGTAGCTCAGGCAGTCGCTTGATGGAGCTCAGGCAGTCTCTAGCTATATCTCATGCAGTCTCTGGCTGCGTCTGAGACGCGAAACGAGGAACAAGCTACGTAAATAGGTGACAAGGAAATAGGAAAACTTTCAGTTTGATTTGCATATCACGAGATATGCCCTGGAATGTGTTGACGTGTGAGTGAGTATAGGGGTGGCTTAAACAATAAGACTCGGATTACCTTGTCTCAAATCCTTATCCTCACTCACCTCATCAGAACTCAACTCACCTAACCTCACCTCAACTCACCTCACATCAACTCACCTCACCTCAACTCACCTCAACTCACCTCACCAACTCAACTTACCTCACCGCAACTCACCTCAACTTATCTGAACTCACCGGATCTCAACTCACATCACCAAATCACATCACTTTAACTCGTCTCAACTAAACTCGTTGCTTTCTGCCGCTCTACTCCACGAGATTGTTGTTATCTTCGTCTTTCGGTTTCACTCTTTTAGTTTTAAGTTTAACACTTTAAACTTTAAACTACTTCATGAAAACAATTTGTTCCTGTCTCAAAGTCGCCTTCCAGTTGTCGAGCTGTGAGACACCGGTGGGAGTTGCCGTGTTTAACTCGGTCACGGGGCTGTGGCTCAGGGTCCAGTTTGTGGAGCCACAAACCACCGGGCGAGGCACCGTGACCCGCTCATGTGAGCGGGGGACAGGCACCCCAGGGGTAGTGTGGCCGTAACACATCAACTTTAACGCGTAAAAAAAAGACAAAATAGGACATTTTTTGCTAGACTCAAAAGTGTGAGAAGATAATTTTGATAGGTTTTACCCTTTCTGGCAATAAAACAGGAGTTATGTTCAGATGTTCAAACACCAAATAAGTTTGTGTGGTCAATGCAGACTTTATTCCTTGCAACAGGCATCAATTTTGTGTTTGAACATCTCAACACCTCATGGGACCTCCCTTGCCAGTATCAAAATATAAGAATAATAAGTTTTACTCTTCTGGCAATAAAACAGTTGTGTTAAAATGTTAAAACACCAAACAGAAACCTTAGCGAGGAATAATGTCTGCATTAACCACACACAGTGATTGTTGTGAATATGCAAACAAAACATGCTCTGATAATTATATAAGCATTGTATGTGAAACTGATTGGCCTACACCAGAGACGGCAGTCTTCTTGATGGCCTAGTCTCACCACCAGTGTTAGTAGACCAGAGAACAACGCCAAAAAACGAACAGTACAAAGACAATGCGCGGATCAGAGCATTTAGAGTTCGGGGTGAGCAGCTACATCATGGGATACCTTTTTGCCAGGATTAAAACATGAAAAATAAGAACAGGTTTTACCCTTTCTGGAAATTAAACAGGAGTTGTGTTCAGATGTTCAAACACCAATAGATACCTTTTGCAAGGAATTAATTGCTGCATTAACCACACACAGTACTTGTAGCGAACATGCAAACAAACATGGCTCTGTTAATATATGATGCATTGTCTTTGAAACGGATTGGCCTACTACAGATACAGCTTTCTTTAGGGCCTAGTCTCACCAGTCTCAGACCGGAGAACGCCAAAAGGCGAAATTGCAAAGGCAATGCACTATCAGGGCATTTATAGCTCTGGATGAGCAACCACAAAATGAGACCCGAATCGCTATTGCAGCCATGCTAATTGTGAGGGTCGCTCTTTTTTTACGTGGTAGAGAGATAAATGAGTTAGGATCCATTTTCTCTGCCGTGCAATTCCCTTAATAACTCTGTTATGAGGTACCATCGCGGGTTTTTCAACATTACTTTAACGGCGACAAAAAGGACAATAACTCGATCAGGAATACAGAGAAACTTAACAAAATTTGTAATTTATAAATTATACCTCGATTCGTGATGCACTATTGAAACACTTTGCTCAAGGACGCGAATCAACTGTGGAGGATAATCATTTATTGACAACCAAGTGTAACCAAATCTTTGAAACTCTCGGCAACAGTAACAGCGCACGTTTACATAACCCCGTAAGTCCACCGGCTTAACACGGCGACCCCACAGCGCGTCGACGATCACAGAACTTGCCGGCGACCGTTCGCACCACAACCCTGACGCGCGCTCCGCTCCCGGGTGACGAGACAACGCGGCAGAAGCCCACCAGCTTGGCGCGCAACATTCACTCACGAGGTCGCGTGCAGACTCATGGATTCCCCCCAGGACCCAACGGTAGTGCAGCAATCCCAGGATTCAAAGCAGCATCAACCTCAACCTTGGCTCGCACACACAACGGCGTCCTTTAATGGTTCCACGCAGCCGTAGCCTCGAGACTCTCAACATCGCTCTGAGCGCCTCCACTCAGCCGCCGTCTCGGTCACTGCCACGCCCGCACAGCAGCACCGCACACAGCTGCTCCACGCACCAGCAGCACCAGGCACCGGCTCGCCCACACGGCAGCAGCCGCTCCCCTGCAGGAGCCCCCCACCCCTCCCCGCCACCCGGCCCCGGTGAACGAGGACCACCCCAGCCCCTCGTGCAGTAGGACCCCTCCTCTTAACGATGTTGATTTGTCCCACGAAACCGGTCGTTAAGTGATTTGGTCGTTAAGTGTGTATATGAAATGCCCGTTAAAGGCTTAATTTGTTCTGATAGCTTCGAAAGTTACCCTTTTTCACCCAAAAACGTACTTTATAGTATTAAAACAATGGATATGAATACATGAATATACTAATAATATTGTAAACAAATACCGACAACATCCCGTCGTCAACAGGGGAATGGTCAATGGAGACCCGTCGTTAAGTGATTAGTCGTTAACAGAGGTGATCATTGGGGAGGGGTTCTACACTACACTACTATACACTACTATACACTACACTACTATATACACTACTATACACTACTATACACTACACTACTATACACTACACTACTATCCACTACAATACACTACACTACTATACACTACACTTGTGTAGTGACATAGAATCGGTCACATAGCAGCATAGCGCTGGCTGCTGACAGGGAAAGGGATCTGCAGCTCACAGCAGCCCTGACTGACAGCAGGTCACATGATAGACCAGAGAGGGATCTAGGGGAAAGGTTACAGAAGGGGCACATCGAGAACCCGTTAGTAGGTTCACTGGCAGTACAGGTAGTCCTCTACTAACGATGGAGATGCGTTACGACGACCCCATCGTAATTCAAAAATATCGTAAGTCGAAGATGGCCTAGCCTACCCAGGAGTCTTAAAGAACGGTGATAATTTAGCAAAACAGAGAAATTTACAGTACCGTACTGTGTAAACTATATACTGTATGTATTTATTAATTACAATACTGTATTGCACAATAAAATGTAAAGGAAAAAAAACAAAGTAAATTCTTAGCCTACCTATATGAACTGCAATTTAGTGGAAAGTTTTTTTCAGGAAACAATCCTATAAACACGCTAACACCGAGACAACTTAACTCCGTCGACCGCTGGTGAGAGTGAGGCATCACACAAGGTGGGAGATGCGCACATCCCGGCAGCGTCCCAACGTACAGTATCGTACCTCGTACGCTGCTGCGTTTGCCTGCCGCGCGAAATTTAAAATATTTTACAATTTTGTCGTATCGCTATCCGCTATCGCCATCGTAAGATCGAAATATCGTAAGTCGGACCATCATAACTCGGGGACTATCTGTATAAGAGGGGCCCAGGGAGGGGACCTCGGGGCTGTCATTTGGAGTGGGATCTCGTCATGCTGCTGGAGTCTTCACCATCGTCTTCACCATCTCGGCATCGCCAGTCAGGCAGTCTACCAGCTGTCCTGACTGGGAACCGTAGTTACCAAGTGTGAACTGTTATGGCCGTGTTAATAAAGTGCCTCCTACTCTTAGTGTTTCTGAGTCAGTCACTACACATAAACCCACAGGTGACGATCCCTCTGTATAGTCCACAACAGACTATGAGTACCTAACTTCACACACACTCACTTTCACACGTACTCCCCACCATCTCACACATCACCACCACCACACACACTACAATATGACACACTACTACACTATACACTACACCACTATACACTACAATGTGTTACAGTACTTTGGTTCTTGCCTACTTATTCTTAGGTTTTTTCGGTAAAGTCACGTAGGTAAAAAATTCAAATTAATACAAGTAAAATAAAAATAAAATAAAAAATCACGACGTTTCGGAGGCAACACAAGCTTCCGTCTTCAGGTGAAACAGTCACAGCACGATAGCTGTATCAAGTGAGAGCAATTTGAATTTTTTACCTACGTGACTTTACCGAAAAAACCTAAGAATATGAATCCTTGCAGTCACGAAAGCTTCAAATCTAGAATCTTGCCTACTTCTCCAGGCTCACCTGTATCGCGGCCACTAAATGTTTGGTAAGCCAAGTCACGCCCGTGGAGAGTGTGGGTCGAGTCTCGCGAGAGATCAATCGATACCATATTGTTGAGGCGATTCTAGAGGGTTGGTTTGTCTTTAATTCGTAGACCAGCCACCCTGCCGGCTTTCACGCCGTAGCAGATCTTTGGGCAAACGCGGTGCGCTCACGATACACAGGATGACCCCTTCATCCCGGCACTCACACCTGAGCCTACGCTCACACACCCTTAAGGCACTTTGAGGCTCAGATGGCGTTTACGATCTGCTTTGGGCTACATTCACAAGCAACCCGACGTCAGGGTGAAGCTCGATGCCGTGCGTCATGCACCACCGCCGGCCTGACACCGTCGTCGTCAGAGTAGAGGAAGCGAGCCGGCGCCTGCTGGCTCCTTTCTACCATAGGGAGGTGTCAGAGGCAGCCTCCTTGTACTCCTCTGCCCCTTCCCTGCTCCCCACCGGGTGTCCAAGCTGGAAGCATGGCCGGTTTCTGGGTACCGCTCTCGTTCCCTTCTGGCTGGAGTTCAAGAGCGAAGAGGCCTGGGGTCTTCCTCCATTCACCCTCTAGTCCCTGGTGGTGA